GCCGTCTCCTCTGCTTCATCCAGCTCATGCTGCAGCTTACGAAACTTGGTCAGATTAGAATTGGCTTGTTCTTCCTACAGAATACACACAACAGTATTTGTGAAAATCAAATTAGTCATACGTGAATTGAATATGATCATATCATATGATAGCACCAGTGAGGAAAAAATCTATGCAAAGCATAAACATGTAAGGATGCGCATTATATATTTAAATACTGTAAAACTGCATTTAATATATTGAATACATTTATGTATTTACCAATCAAAAAAACAAGGCAAAAACAATTTTCTAGGCAATTTTTTTTTCTATGCGTCTCTCAGATTTACGAATCCCCTTGACAGAGTCACTGGCCTTTCTCGATTCTATCTCCACCTCACGTTCCAGCTCTCTCCCCTAACAGATGTGTAAGATTTTCAAACAGAATGACCATTTTACAGAAAACACAAAAGACTTGTTTCCGAAAACATCAGCCGTTTACCCTGGCTTCCAGTTTCTGGACCTGCTTCTTGCCTCCCTTCACGGCGACCTGCTCAGCTTCATCCAGACGGTGCTGCAGGTCCTTGATGGTCTGCTCCATGTTCTTCTTCATGCGCTCCAGATGAGCGCTGGTGTCCTGCTCCATATCATATGATAGCACCAGTGAGGAAAAAATCTATGCAAAGCATAAACATGTAAGGATGCGCATTATATATTTAAATACTGTAAAACTGCATTTAATATATTGAATACATTTATGTATTTACCAATCAAAAAAACAAGGCAAAAACAATTTTCTAGGCAATTTTTTTTCTATGCGTCTCTCATATTTACAAATCCCCTTGACAGAGTCACTGGCCTTTCTCGATTCTATCTCCACCTCACGTTCCAGCTCTCTCCCCTAACAGATGTGTAAGATTTTCAAACAGAATGACCATTTTACAGAAAACAAAAGACTTGTTTCCGAAAACATCAGCCGTTTACCCTGGCTTCCAGTTTCTGGACCTGCTTCTTGCCTCCCTTCACGGCGACCTGCTCAGCTTCATCCAGACGGTGCTGCAGGTCCTTGATGGTCTGCTCCATGTTCTTCTTCATGCGCTCCAGATGAGCGCTGGTGTCCTGCTCCTTCTTCAGCTCCTCTGCCATCATGGCAGCATCAGTGATAGCCTTCTTGGCTTTCTCCTCAGCATTCCTGCACTGCCTCCTCAACCTCAGTCTGAAGCTGAGTATTATCTCCCTCCAGCTTCTTCTTCTGATTCAGCAGACTGGTGTTCTAGACATAGACAATAATGACATTCATATAGTCTCTAGATGATATTATGTACTATGAGAGGGTTTAAAGGTTTGGTTAGCGTGAAGATGTGGCCAGATGTGTCATACCTGAGAATGCAGGAGCTGGACTCTCTCGCTGACGTCCAGCAGTTCCTGCTCAGCCAGTTTCCTTCCTCTCTCAGTCTGTTCCACCAGGGATCTCAGCTCATCCAGTTCAGCCTGCAGCAGATTGTTGCGTCTGCGTCTTTGAGATCATCATTACCACGCAGAGCGTCATCCAGCTGCAGTTGGGCATCCTGCAAAGGACAAATTTTACATATGAATAGACTGCAGAACTTTATAAGATTTCATTTTGCTTTACAGATTGTTGGTAAAGCATACCGTGAGATGTGCTTGCGCATGTTCTGCGCGATCCTCTTCACTGATATCCTTTGCATCTCAATCGGGCTCAAATTGATAAGCAATATAGACGACTCCATTATTTACAATACAACATGCCGCTGAGGTGAGGAGCGGGATGTTTAGATGCGCACCAGAGGCGGTTTAGCCAATCACAACACACTGGACTAGGTAACCAATCAGAGCCCATTGCGTATTTCTGAGGGAGGTGCTTCATAAAAGCAGGAAATGATAATCCTGTTTCTCAGAGAAAGGACAGAGCGATGAAGAATAAAGGTAAATTATGTGATTTTTTTTTAATTTTTTTTTTAAACGAAGCATGAACATGTTATACTGCACCTCATAAACACAATCAATCCTAGAAAAAACCCAGTGAATCACCCCTTAAAGGCCGAGATCAGGGATCTAGTGTATAACTGGAAAAACTAGACCTGGTACATCTACACATAACAATTTATCTCCGCTTCCTCCAGAGCTGCTTGAACTTTTAGCTTTCTCCTGCTCCAGCTGCTTACACATTTTTTCTAGCTCATGAATGTTCTTTCCACTCTCACCAATTTGTTCAGTGAGATTAGCAATCTCCTCTGTTTAATAGGGAAAGTAATAATGGTTATTGTACAAAATCAAATGAAATATTCAAATTTTGTGATATTTATGTGAGCAATATTTATTGGAATAGTAAATCAAGGGCACCTTGGAGGTTCTTGTTTTCTCTCTTCATGGTCTCCAGATGATCCAGAGACTCCTTATAAGAGTTCTTCAGTTTGAATAGTTCAGTGCTCAGAGATCTGGCCTCCTTCTGAGAGCTTTCCAGCTCACTCTGAGACTCCTCATATTTCTGCTTCCATTCAGCCAGGACTCGTTTGATCGATTCAGAGACTTTGATTAGCTTTCATTGGAGCTTGATGAATACTGAAAGATTATAGAGTAAGTGTGTTTTATTCACCTTGTCAAAGTTTCTTTGCTGCTTGTCCAGAGCAGCGGCAGCAGCATTGGATCTCTCCACATCCACCATCAGATCTTCAATCTCATTCTGCAGCCTGTGTTTGGTCTTCTCCAGTGAGGAGCATTTAGCATTGACAGCTTCCACAGCTTCTTCTGCATCTTGCAGACGCTGAGCCAGCTTCTTCCTTCATGAATAAACAGAATCAGTCAAATGTTTGTATGGTATGCTACATGGAAAACCCAAATATTTCCTGTTTCATACTTGGCATCCTCCAGCTCCTCAGTTCTCTGAATGGCATCAGTTTCATACTTGGTTCTCCACTGAGCCACTTCAGAGTTTGCCTTGGACAGACTCCGCTGCAGCTCAGCTTTGGCTTCTTGCTCCTCCTCATACTGCTCCCTCAGCAGATCAGTCGTGACGAGCAGACTGAACTGCATAGGCCAGGGCATTCTTAGCCTACAAGATATTCAAAATTAATGTGTTTTGTTATGGAGAATGGCCCAAAGCTGTAGCATAAGGCTCTAGTCTCTTTGAGGAGTGGGGGTTTGAATCGCACTGCTCCTAGAAGAGCTTGTTGAGTGACAAAGCAATTCAGTGATTAAGGTGAATGAATGCTGCACTGTGTTACTCTAAACTTGTGGGTTCAAGTGACAACCTTGGTTGTTTCTGGACTTTGGATTCAACAGAGGCTTAATTTCTAGTGGTGTAGACCAATGGTTAAACATCGGAGTTAATAAGCTAAAAAAGTTTGAACACCTTAATGAGAGAACTGAATCACGGTTTTAAGCGAAGCACTAGACCCAAGGCTGTCCTTGTACCATGGCATTCTGTTCTATTCTATAACATTGAATTTGAAGTTGTAGTTACAATACCTTGACTTCCTCCTCTAGCTGTCTCTTGAGGTCTTCAATCAGCTGAGTGTAGGACTGCTTGCCTCTTGTTAGCTGAGACACCAGGGAGTCTTTCTCCTCTAGCTGTCTGGAAAGCTCCCCTGGGTCGTAGTATAACCACTACATTACAGAAAGCATTTATTACAAACGCTCCCCTAATACAACCAATACGATCCGAGATAATGGTTCAAAATCCATCACCATGAATTAGTTATTAGAATCTCATGATTCAAAACAATAATAATGTTAAAAAATTATTAAAGAAAGACTTCAGCTTGCTTGGTGAGTTTTAAATAGCCGCATATGACCTGTTCACAAGTTGTAGGCTTGAGGGAAAGTTGAATGGCTGAAGCTGAGGACCCTCTCAACAGTGTGACCTTCCTCTCTTTTATAAAGCCACTATCCATCTAAATAAGGGAGTTGGCACACTGTTATGCCAAACTGCTACTGTGTTTGGTTCAGCTGAGGTAGGGAGGGATAAGCCTAGTTTTCCATACACACCAGTCATTCCACCACTGCCAACAACATCCCATAATGGAAAATAATTAAAGGGAGACAATCAAAATCACCAAAGACAATGCTTTCACCATTAAGCCCTGTTTGTATTCAAAATATGCTAAAATCATTTTTAAGCATGATTTTTTTCCCCCAACGGGCAATCTGAATCTCACAGCATTATTAGCTTGTGTTGCATCATAAATATGTACAATTAAGTGCATTTTAATTTCATTTACAAGAGAAAGCTACATAACTCGTGTTTACAATGTTCCTTATTTCAATAATCAGACTGAAAATGCAATAGGCAAAGACAAAATAGAGAGAAAGACAGACACAAAATAAATCCTGATAGTGTTAACATTCAGATGAACCTGTGCGTTCCTTCCCGCTGCTGTCATACTCTTCAGCAGGTACGTAACAAATAAGGGACGCTGTGAGCAGTGCGATTTCAATCAGCTTCATTAAAGGAATATTACAGGTTTATTGCAACTTAAGCTGTCAAATTACTCCACAAAATTGTCCCTCAGATCAGTGTGCACAGTAAAGCACTTACAATGGATGATGCACTAGAGCAGTGGTTCCCAAACCTGGTCCTGGAGGCACACAAACACTTTACGTTTTGCATGTCTCCTTAATCAAACACACCTGATTCAGGTCATCATCTCATTAGTAGAGACTCCAAGACCTGAAACTGGAGCGTCAGAGAAAGGAGACATGCAAAATGTGCCGTGTTGGGGTGCCTCAAGGACCAGGGTTGGGAACCACTGCACTAGAGGTTTTAAAAGCAGAGATATGAAGGATGCATTTTTTTACAGCACAAATTCTGTTATTTTGTTATGTTTTGACTCTAATCCATCTGCAACAAAAGTTATCACCTGATTGTGCAACAGTCAACAATAAAATCTGGAGTAGGGGTACGTTTTGCATGTCTCCTTAATCAAACACACCTGATTCAGGTCATCATCTCATTAGTAGAGACTCCAAGACCTGAAACTGGAGCGTCAGAGAAAGGAGACATGCAAAATGTGCCGTGTTGGGGTGCCTCAAGGACCAGGGTTGGGAACCACTCTGCACTAGAGGTTTTAAAAGCAGAGATATGAAGGATGCATTTTTTTACAGCACAAATTCTGTTATTTTGTTATGTTTGGACTCTAATCCATCTGCAACAAAAGTTATCACCTGATTGTGCAACAGTCAACAATAAAATCTGGAGTAGGGTTGTCGCGATATACCGGTATTGACGATAACCGTGATATTCAATTCAAAACTAGAAAAACTGAGCGACTACATTGCTACATTAAACTCTGTAAAATCTTACGTTGGTCGCAGTGCCATGCATTTAATGCCTCATCTGCAGCCGTTCTAGACGCACATTAAAACTGAATTAACTGAATTTGGCTGATTCCCCAAGGTTTCTATAGACATCACGATATATCGATATTGTGAATTCTTTTGGCCACAATAACCGTCGTGTGTAAAATCTAGTATCGTGACAGCCCTAATCTGGAGTAACTGACAACACGTCCCAGCTTCTGCACATACAACTTAAGGTGCATTCCTATAATACTCCTTTAACAAAGAGTGACGTAACATACAATAATACGTGTTTCTAGTATCATGCCTCAGTCCAATCAGAGTGCACATAAATAATCCTCGATCAGTCCTGCAGCGATCCTCTAGGCGCGCCATTCTTAGCAGCAATGAGTTAAAGTACTAAGAGAACCAATTCCATCCTCCTTCCATCTGGAGTGAGAACTTCAGCCTGTTTTGAAAGGGATAAATATGTTTCAAAACGACCTCTGTCATTTTGAGCCCTTATCTCATATTGGTCTAATATATTACTAATAAGTCACCGAATGCTACATGGGTCAGACGATGTTTAATTAAAAGTGTATGCCCTTGTTTATGCCACTGTGCGCTGACAAGTTTGCATACTCAGTGGACGTGCTTCGGTACCCTTCACCCCTCATACTTCATGACGGAGTCCATGTGCCACGACTCCACCGACACGTGTTAGGAATGACTACAAATACAGGATTATTAGGACGGGACTCCGAGGTCAGTCCCTCAGTATTTGTGGTTGAAGAGTGAAGGCTAGGTCTCTGGGTTTGGCGTAGCCAGAAGAGGAACGTTATCCCTACGTCTTCGGCCCAGCGGAGGACGGCGGTACTGTTCTCCATCCGCCAGCGTCTGTGGAAGAGGTTTGCGTTTGCTCTCCGGGAGAAGCAGGATGGAGAGGACCGCCAGCAGGGCCAGAGATGAGTAGACCACATGGTGCAGAAAGTAGCCGTAGTGATTACGCAGATTCATGAGAGGAGAACTGAGGCGGCCCACGCAACCCAAAGCCATAACCGCTCCCACACCACTTCCTCTGTGGACACAAGAATGGAGCATTAAAACCACCACTTTCATGGTGTGCTTCTACAAAATCTTCTGTCTAAATGGAAATATTACCCAACTGTTGGTTGAAGAAAAGTGGAAGCATGATGGAGCTTTTGAAGTTGCCTTCACGTGATATTTGAGTTATTGTAAATATGTGACCCTGGACCACAAAACCAGTCTTAAGTGTAAATTTTTCAAGGAAGAGATTAGGATCGGACAATATTTGGCTGAGATACAACTATTAGAAAATCTGGAATCTGAGGGTGCGAAAAAATCTAAATATTGAGAAAATCATCTTTAAAGTTGTTCAAATGAAGTTCTTAGCAATGCATATTACTAATCAAACATTAAGTTTTGATATATTTACAGTAGGAAATTTACAAAATATCTTCATGGAACATGATCTTTACTTAATATCCTAATGATTTTTGGCATAAAAGAAAGATCAATAATTTTGACCCATACAATGTATTTTTGGCTATTGCTACAAATATACCCCAGCGACTTAACACTGCTTCTGTGCTCCAGCATCACATTTCTGCATCTGGTAAATGCTTTTATCCAGTGCATTCAGGATTTACATTTTATTACTTCATATTCCCTAGGAATCAAACCCATGACCTTGTCGTTTGTTAGGGTCATGCACTACCGGCTACAGTATGTGAAAACTCTTAATAAGTGAACAAGAACAACTGGTGCAAACTCTTGCCTCGGTTTCCTCCCAGGAGAAACACTCTTGGCGGGAAGCCAGAACAACACAGAAGAGATGCATAAATTACATCCCAAACCGGCACTCGGGAGTCCAGTAGGGATCGTGCTGTTTTCTTGACTCTCTCGTTGTCCACACATTACATGCATTCTGCTGCTTCAGGAGGTAAAATAAGTGTGAGGTTATGACTGTGTGCTAGTAACCAGCCCCGCGGGAGCGCGTGTTTACCTGATGATGGTGGGCATGACTTCAGCGGTGAACAGAATAGAGAGAGAGGCGGCCGCTTGGGACGAGAACAGGCCCATTATAGAGAACACAGTCATGGCTGACTCACTCAGATCTGCAGGGACACATTCATCTCAACGTTAGACTTTATCAAGCAAAAGGCCTGAAAGAATTAACTGGACAATGTTTGAAACTTGTATTACTAGCACTTCTCGTGTTATTGCATCCTTATGCTATGCTATATGATTGATAACTTGTATTCCTCGTTTTAAGCGTTTGCTAAAAGAATGCACAAATCTTGCAAAACCTGCCAAGAATATGTCCAGATCATATTCAACTTTCAAAAAACAAAACAAAAAAAAACTATATATATATATATATATAGTATATATAGTGCTGTCAAACGATTAAATCACATCTAAAATAAAAGTTTTTGTTTACATAACAAAAACAATGTGTACTGTGTATATTTATTATGTATATATATATAAATACAAACACATGCATGGATATATTTAAGAAAAATAGGTTACGTTTATATATATGATATAATTTATATGAATTTAAATATATACACGTAAATATTTTCTAAATATATACTGTATGTGTGTGTATTTATATATACACATAATAAATATACACAGTACACACACATATTATGTAAACAAAAACTTTTATTTTGGATGTGATTAATCACGATTAATCGTTTGACAGCAAATATATATATATATTAGCATAAAAGAGTCTATTTTTAGACTTTGATTGCACTGTGAAAATATTTAAACTGTTAAATAGAATTGTAAGTATTCTATGTACTACTATGGGATAGTAGTATTTGTTTTAAATGTATGCAGTTTATTATAAACTGGATGATGTGTATAAATGTATTACTGTGATGAAAGGGATTTGTTGATTTTATCCGTTACAATAAAGAGTATTTGAGGTGAAAAGTGATTGCTCAGTGATCACTGCAATCTTAGAAGTCCCCAAAATATATTCTTTATTCTGAAAAAAAATTCAAATTATAATTTAGTATTTCATAAATTTATAAAAATTTAAATACATAAAAAATGATTAAAACTTCTTTGTTTTGATTTTAGGCTAAAATATCACCAAAAAATCCTGAGCAAAAAACGCTTACAGTCCATGAGTCCGAGCAGGATTAGGGAGGCCAGTCCGGTCAAGGTCATGGCTAGAAGAAGAATTCCACGGCGACCAAACCGGTCCACCGTTGCCCAGAGCAACAGCCAGGCCCCGCCCCCTGCACATACAGACAGCAGGTACGTCCAATAGAAACTGGGGGTGAATCCTCTGACATCACCTCTGAAGGAGCTGTAGCAGTGACTGATGCCATGAGAGATGAACCTGAACACAAGAATACACGTCAAGATACGATAAGACCAGCCACCTAACAATCAAACGAGACAGGAATAGAGGAATAAACATGTAAACGTTGAACTAAATCTGGCAATATTTAAATAAATATATAAATGCTTGTGGGAATAAATAAATATGTGACCCTGGACCACAAAACCAGTCATAAGGGTCAATTTTTCGAAATTGAGATTTATGCATAATCTAGAATAAGATGAATAAATAATCTTTCCATTGATGTATGGTTTGTTAGGATCGGACCATATTTGACTGAGATACAACTATTTGAAAATCTGGAATCTGAGGGTGCAAAAAAATCTAAATATTGAGAAAATCATCTTTAAAGTTGTCCAAATTAAGTTCTTAGCAATGCATATTACTAATCAAACATTAAGTTTTGATATATTTACGGTAGGACATTTACAAAATATCTTCATGGAACATGATCTTTACTTAATATCCTAATGATTTTTGGCATAAAAGAGAAATGTATAATTGTGACCCATACAATGTATTGTTGGTTATTGCTACAAATATCCCCCAGCGACTCAACACTGCTTTTGTGCTGCAGGGACACATTTATGCATACATTAATAAATTAATGCATAAATAAATAAATATACAATTAAAATAATAAAAATACAATATGTAAACAATCAGTGAAGGGGGGGAATAAAAATGAATTCAGGACAAAATTATATCAAAAAATTAATTGTAGTTTTAGCAAGTCATTTATTCCTTTATTTTTTATTACATGTATTATTTATTTATTTATTTAATTTCTGCAGGTTGGATCCTCCATATTTCTCCATTGTCAAATATGACATTCAACTGAAAATAAATAAGTTTAGCTATTTTGACGTTACTTTACTCTAGCACCCAAAACCTGATCATTTAAGCACACTAGGCAAGAAGTTTATGAGCAGGAATGACTTACGAAGTGAATCCCAGCACACACAGGTTTTTCCAGATGTTTCTGCTATGAAGCAGCTCTGGGAAAGACAGATGAGGACGTCTAGGAGACGAGGACGACTCCGTGTCCAACTCTGCATCAGACACAAGAATGCACAGTTTGTGAACTAATATTAGAGGAAAACCTCCGGCAGAAACTGTGTTTGGAAGCATTCTCCAGCGTCAACAAGAGCAAGATGTTTTTAAACTGACCTGAGAAGCTGTCGTCGTCTCTCTGCCGCTCGCTGAAGGAATTCATGTCTCCCGTTCTCTCGGAGAGCAGAAGCCAGCGCGGCGATTCGGGAAACACTCCCGGGATCCTGAAGACAAACAAACACATCTTTAAATGCCAGCTAAAAGAACAGCTTCGTGCATTAATAGGATCATCTGCTCAACAAACAGCACAACTGGGAGAAGCGACAGCATCTGGTAGTCACAGAAACCAAGATGATTCATCATTACTAACGAGCGATAATGTGCGCCGGCTGCACTCAAAGCTCTGAAGCTTCACAGGGGATTTCAGATCAATATTTCTGAATGATGCTGAAGGAGCAGTCGCTTCGCATTTAGGCTGATGAAGTGTTGAAAAGCCTCCTGTTCCCAGCTGCTACAGCGTTTAATAACACAAGAGATATTATCCACAGCACTGAAGGCCTGGCCTGCAGGAAACTGTGTTTACGTAACATTATGCATCAAATTAATCACCTGCAAATGTATTTTTCAGAAAGCAGCTCATAGAACTGGTTTCAGGGATCTGTTTCAGGTCATGGAAAGATCACTTGCATTATTAGGTCAGTGCTTTCTTATGGTCTTACATTATAACTAAGTGCAAACGTTTTGTTTGGATTTCTGTGATGATCTGAATATTGTTTTGTGAACTCATGCACCTCAAACAGAAGAGCATGACAAAGCATATGTTGATTAAAAACCCTGAATGCAGTTTAAGTTACTTTGCATAAAAACATCGGCCAAATGCATAAATGTAAAATTTTCAGTACCAATTTTGTTACCATGGCAAAAAAGAAAAAATATATATATATACACACTTTATATATTTTATACTGATATATTATTTTAGTATCATTGAGAAATTATTATAATTTTTTTTATATGTAATTGAATTTTTATTATAATATTTTCTATTATACTATTAATATAATATATCATTATTAATATATTATTATTTTTATTTAAATTTTAGTTATTTTCAAATGAGAAATTGCCTTGGCAGCTACATTTTTATTTATTTATTTTTTCAGTTAACGTTTATTTTTTTCAAGTAACAATTTTTAATGGTTTTAATTTTAGTTTCAGTTTTACTTAACTCTAATAACCCTGATATATCTTTGATTTTTTTTACATTAGAGCTAAAGGTTTTACAGAGAGGATTTTGGATTCATTTTTTGTATCACTCCATAAATCACAAAATACTGTCAGCAGACAGAAAGAAAAAGTTTTTTCAAGGTTTTAGGAATAAAATGTATAAAGTCAGGCAGATGAACAAACCCTCTATAAAAACCTAATAAAATATAGAATACAGATAGAAATAAAACTGTAAAGTTTGGTGTATGGTGTAAGTGAGCTGAACTCATACGTCATCCGCCCGGAGCTGCTTCCGTGTACAACAGTGAGCGCAAGCTACATTAAAGTGATTATTATGTTTTGAATATAGATATTTTTCTTACAAAAACACATCAATTCGCTACAGGAGGCCTTTGTTCACCCCCCGGAGCCGTGTGAGACAGTTTTTTTATGGATGGGCGCTTTTTATTTAACTTCTTTTGTACTGATGCATGCAACACCCGCTGAGTGCAATGAAACAGCTTGAAAGATCAAAGACCATTTTTAATATAACTCATAACATAACAACATATACACCTAGGATGACTTGAGGGTGAGCAATTTATGGGCTAATTTTCATTTTTGGGTGAACTAACCCTTTAAAGTGAGAAAAGCAATTACCAATGGGGTAGAAAAATAAACTTGTTTCTTTTTGAATTAAGTAAATTTTTCTTAATCCGTTGGCATATTTTGTTTAATTATTAATATTATTTTAAGCATGAAGTCACTACATAAGGATACTTTTTTTCAGAAAATAAGACTTTGCATCTCAAGTAAATGTATCGGTAATGCTTTATTTTGATGGTCCCTTTTAAACACTCTGTTGACAATAAGTAACGCTGCATCTACATGTCTACTAACTCTTATCAGAGTATTAGTAGACTGTCTGCTCAATATCCGATAACTCTTTATTGTGATGGTCTCCCAGCAGACATTCTACTGACTATAAGTAACTTTGCAAGAACATGTCAACTTGTTCTAACCCTAACCCTACCAGTCTACTAATACTCTAACATTCTAATAAGAAATAGTAGATATGTAGGTGCAACGTTACTTAGTTTTAAGTCGCTGGGTTATACAGTATATCTGTACACAAGTGTGCAGTTTAAAAATGTACAAATTTTGAATTCTATGTATAAATATGTGACCTTGGAGCTCAAAAGCAGTCATAAGTAGCACAGGTATATTTGTAGCAATAGCCAACAATACTTTGTATGGGTCAAAATGATCGATCTTTCTTTTATGCCAAAAATCATTAGGATATTAAGTAAAGATCATGCTCTATTAAATTATTTTGTAAATTTCCTACCTTAAATATATCAAAACTTAATGTTTGATTAGTAATATGCATTGCTAAGAACTTCATTTGGACAACTTTAAAGATGATTTTCTCAATATTTAGATTTTTTTGCACCCTCAGATTCCAGATTTTCAAATAGTCGTATCTCAGCCAAATATTGTCCTCTCCTAACAAACCATACATCAATGGAATTGATTGAATTATTTATTCAGCTTTCAGATGATGTACAAAATCTAAATTTTCAAAAATTGACACTTAAGACTGGTTTTGTGGTCCAGGGTCACAAATATCTGATCTTGCAAGATGTGCTCCCTTTACACAGAGTGCGTGTGATCGGGAAATCGAAAGTGAAAGTAAACGGCGCAAACGCTCATTCAAAAGGGATTTAAATACTGAGAGCGGCTCCCTGATGCAGCAAAATTATACACAATATTAGAATGTTTAAAGGAAAATTGCGGGAGCGAAACACATATTGCGGGAGCAGGCGGCAATAGTCATAAATTCAGTGGGAGCGGAATAAAGAAAACAGCCAAATCCCGGACATTTTGAGCGATTAAGAAATCCCGGCCGGATGCATTTTTTTAGGTCCAAAAAGAGGACATGTCCGGGGAAAAGAGGACGTATGGTCATCCTATGTCAACTTGTTCTAACCCTACCAGTCTACTAATACTCTACTAACACTCTAATAAGAAATAGTAGATATGTATGTGCAATGTTACTTATAGTCAACAGAATGTGTTAAAGCGACCATCAAAAAAGTGAAACCAATGCATCTTGATTTAAGAATGTTTAGATATTTGTACTGTAAACAAAACAAAAATGCTGAGTAAGATCATTTCTCGCAGCGTAACATCACGACAAACAAGCTCTGATGTTTATGACTTGTGTTTGACTTACGTGTGACGTACAGCGTGAGGAAGACGCCGGCGCTCGCCGCGGCCAGACAGAAGCGCATGGTGATGAAGACGGGCGGTGAGGGCGACACACACACCAGCACCCCAAACACCACCGCCAGCATCAGAGACACCAGCAGAGACTTCTGCCTGCCCAGTCTGAACACACACAACAACCCAATAAACACTGGAACGACGGAACAAACAACAAACCCAAGAGACGGTTTCTCACCGGTCAGCCGTGTAGCCCAAACCCAGACAGCCTGTCAGCGTCCCCAGAATGAAGCACACCTCCTCGACTGGAACCAGCCAGTACCGCGCACACACCAGATCCCACTGGGGACAACAGGAAGTCAGGACACAACAGACAGGAAGTCAGTTGTTGTTTGGTAGCAGTGGCATGCAAACACAATTGGTGATTTTAAAATACTTCCTGTTCATGAGAAGGAACGCTGTGAACTCTGAAGACTCGTGAGTTCGTGTTTTCTTCCATGCAAACAAGTTATATGTCAGAACTTTGATATCTGGCATTGTTACTGTTAACTAAAACTGAAACTATTAAAATGTTGAAATAAACCTGAAATAAAACATAAATCTTAATCTTAAACAAAAACTATAAATGTAAGCTAAATGAAGACAGTTGAAGTATTAAAATGGCTAAAACTGAAATAATAAAAATAAAAACTATTAAAAATATTAATATTTGATTTGTACAAAGTCCGAAGCACATTGCAAAATTGCTAAAACTTAAATTCAAAATGTTTTAATGTCAAAATTTATATACAAATATATAAACTAAAATATAAATACTACATTAAAAACTTTGCTTTGACAACTAAATTAAATAAGTTTACGTTTAAGCACTAAAATTACTAAATCTAAAATTTTAATAAATATCAAAGCTATAGCTATATAGAAATATACAAGTTCATTCAAAACTTTAAAACTTAAATCTAAATCAAATATAAATATTAGTTTAAACACTTAGAAATGTTGCTTTCTCAGCTAAATGAAATAAATTAATTTAAGTACTAAAAATACTAAAACTGAAATAACTATACATAGACAGATATATAGAAATACATAGAGCCTACACAGAAAAAAAAATATATATATATATAAAAACTACTAAAAATGACAAGAGCACATAAAGAACTAGATAAAAAAAGTTTGTCAAGACAGTTTAAAACAGTTGCTTAAATACTAAGACTAAGATCTAAAATTAAAAACAAATATAAGTGAATTCAAAATATTATAACTGCTATAATAGTATATTTAAAAGATACTAAAATAACACTTGTAATATCACATCATTCTAAAATTAAATATGAATGAGTCGGATGTCATGTGACCAAACAGCTGCCTCATGACAGAAGCACACAGAACACAAAAGAGTTCGTCAGCTGAAATGTGAACTAGTTAGTCTTCAGGATGGAGAATGTCAGGCCACACTAACCACAACAGCATCAGCTAACTTTAGACCCGTCTCAGTTTTTGCATTTTTCATTCAATACAAATGTATGTCATTAATAATCAAGAACACATAAACATTGTGTCACAGTGAGGAATCTGATGAATGCAGAGCTTGACAGACATGAACATGTGTACAACAGATATGATATTTACAAGTGTGCAGTTTACAAATGTACAAATTTTGAATTCTACCTATAGATATGTGAGCCTGCAGCACAAAAGCAGTGTTGAGTCGCTGGGGGATATTTGTAGCAATAGCCAACAATACATTGTATGGGTCAAAATTATACATTTCTCTTTTATGCCAAAAATCATTAGGATATTAAGTAAAGATCATGTTCCATGAAGATATTTTATAAATTTCCTACTGTAAATATATCAAAACTTCATTTTTGATTAGTAATATGCATTGCTAAGAACTTCATTTGAACAACTTTAAAGATGATTTTTTCAATATTTAGATTTTTTTGCACCCTCAGATTCCAGATTTTCAAATATTGTGCTATCCTAACAAACCATACATCAATGGAAAGCATATTTATGATGCATAAATGTCAATTTCAAAAAATTGCCCTTACGACTGGTTTTGTGCTCCAGGGTCACATATAAATAATATGTCAGTTATGATGGACAATATATATAGTATAGTTTTGGAAGTTTTAATTGTTCAGGCTGAAGATAGCCTCATATGCTTTAACATTAAGATTTGTACTCATGGAAATTACTAAAGTAGTCAACCCTGTTCATTAGAAGGGATTGTCCCAATACTTATTATATAGTGTACATATAAGTTCAACAGCGTCGGCCCACCTCTGTGACGATATTATTGGTCAGGCCTTCGGTGACATTGTAGTCGTATCCAGCATCACAGTCCTTCACACACGACTGCGTGCCGTTGACGAGCATGTGCTTGCACTGGGGCAGATCTCCGTCTCTTTTCTCCGTCCTCACGGAGGCGTTGGTCACCTGAGGAGCGGGCGAGGGTCGCAGGAGACGACAGCAGAAGGGCGGGGCCAGGGTCAGGAGCGGGTCGGAGGACAGCAGGAACGCCAGGAAGAGGTTGGGCAGAATGGAGAGAGCGATGAGGAGCCGCTGCTTCTTACGGCCCAGAGCCAGAATCATGACCTCTCCGGTGGGCGGCAGAGCGGGCTGCAGGGGGAGCGAGGACGGGGCGGGAGAGCAGAGCGTGGGGGAGGACGGGAGCGAGGGAGGGGGAGGAGGACACGGGGACGGGGAGGCCAGCGGGGACGGGGGTGATGTCATGGTTTGGACAGAAGCTGCGCCACAGAGACCAGAGCCTTACAGAGACGCTGCTGCTGCGGACACAGGTGAAGAGAGAGAGAGAGAAAGATAGACGGCTGTCTGTGTCTCTCACTCTCTCTCTTCCTCTGCTCACCCTGAGACAGACGAGCAGAAATAACCTGCAGAAGACAAGCATACATCAAATCAGATAGATAACAGATAGACAGACAGATAAATAGAAAACAGGCAGACAGACAGATAGATAGATAGAGACAGATAGATAGACAACAGATAGAAGATAGACAGACAGACAGATAGATAGATAACACACAGACAGACAGATAGCAGATAGACAGACAGACAGATAGATAGCAGACAGACAGATAGCAGACAGACAGCAGACTGATAGCAGACAGACAGACAGATAGATAGCAGACAGACAGACAGATAGATAGATAGATACAGACAACAGACACAGATATAGATAGATAGCAGATAGACAGACAGACAGACAGATAGATATAGATAGATAACAGATAGATAGATAACAGAGACAGATAGATAGATAGATAACAGACAGATAGATAAACACATAGACAGACAGATAGATAGATAACAGACAGACAGATAGATAACAGACAGATAGATAAACACAGAGACAGTCAGATAGATAGCAGACAGACAGACAGATAGATAGATAGATAGACAGACAGACAGATAGCAGACAGACAGATAGATAGCAGACAGACAGATAGATAGATAGATAGACAGACAGACAGATAGCAGACAGACAGACAGATAGATAGCAGACAGACAGATAGATAGATAGATAGACAGACAGACAGATAGCAGACAGACAGATAGATAGCAGACAGACAGCAGACAGATAGATAGATAGACAGACAGATAGATAGCAGATAGACAGATATAGATAGATAGCAGATAGACAGACAAACAGACAGACAAACACATAGATAAACACATAGACAGACAGATAGATAGATAGATAGACAGATAGATAGATAGATAGACAGATAGATAGATAGATAGACAGATAGATAGATAGATAGACAGATAGATAGATAGATAGACAGATAGATAGATAGATAGACAGATAGATAGATAGATAGACAGATAGATAGATAGATAGACAGATAGATAGATAGATAGACAGATAGATAGATAGATAGACAGATAGATAGATAGATAGACAGATAGATAGATAGATAGACAGATAGATAGATAGATAGACAGATAGATAGATAGATAACAGACAGATAGATAAACACATAGACAGACAGATAGATAGATAACAGACAGACAACAGATAGATGGACAGATAGACAAGATAGATAAACACATAGACAGACAGACAGACAGATAGATAGATAACAGACAGATAGATAAACACAGACAGATAGATAGCAGACAGACAGACAGATAGATAGCAGACAGACAGATAGATAGATAGACAGATAGCAGACAGACAGATAGATAGCAGACAGACAGCAGACAGACAACCGATAGATAGATAGATAGCAGACAGATAGATAGCAGACAGACAGATAGACAGATATAGATAGATAGCAGATAGACAGACAAACAGACAGACAAACACATAGATAAACACATAGACAGACAGACAGATAGATAGATAACAGACAGATAGATAAACACATAGACAGACAGACAGATAGATAGATAACAGATAGATAAACACATAGACAGACAGATAGATAGACAGACAGCAGACAGACAGACAGATAGCAGACAGACAGATAGATAGACAGACAACAGACAGACAGATATAGATAGATAGCAGACAGATAGATAGATAACAGACAGACAGATAGATAGATAGATAACAGACAAATAGATAAACACATAGACAGACAGATAGATAACAGACAGACAGATAGATAGATAACAGACAGATAGCAGACAGACAGACAGATAGATAGCAGACAGACAACAGATATATATAGATAGATAGACAGACAGACAGATAGCAGACAGAGACAGATAGATAGCAGACAGACAGACAAATAGCAGACAGACAGATAGATAGATAGACAGATATAGATAGATAGCAGATAGACAGACAGACAAACAGATAGATAACAAACAGACAGATAGATAGCAGACAGACAGCAGATAGACAGATAGATAGCAGACAGATAGACAGATAGATAGCAGACAGACAGACAGATAGATAGCAGACCGACAGACAGACAGATAGATAGCAGACCGACAGACAGATAGATAGCAGTCAGACAGACAGACAGATAGATAGCAGACAGACAGACAGCAGACAGACAGACAGACAGACAGATAGATAGCAGACAGACAGATAGATAGAGAGACAGACAGATAGAGAGACAGACACAGACAGATAGATAGCAGACACAGACAGATAGATAGCAGACAGACAGACAGACAGACAGATAGATAAACACATAGACAGACAGATAGACAGATCGATAGCAGACAGACAGACAACAGATAGATGGACAGACAGATAGACAACAGACAGACAGATAGATAGCAGACAGACAGACAGACAGACAGATAGATAGATAACAGACCAGACAGATAGACAGATCGATAGCAGACAGACAGACAACAGATAGATGGACAGACAGATAGACAACAGACAGACAGATAGATAGCAGACAGACAGACAGATAGATAGCAGACCGACAGACAGACAGATAGATAGCAGACCGACAGACAGATAGATAGCAGTCAGACAGACAGACAGATAGATAGCAGACAGGCAGACAGACAGACAGATAGATAAACACATAGACAGACAGATAGACAGATCGATAGCAGACAGACAGACAACAGATAGATGGACAGACAGATAGATAGCAGACAGACAGACAGACAGACAGACAGATAGATAGATAACAGACACAGATAGATAGAGAGACAGACACAGACAGATAGATAGCAGACAGACAGACAACAGATAGATGGACAGATAGACAACAGACAGACAGATAGATAGCAGACAGACAGATAGATAGACAGATATAGATAGATAGCAGATAGATAGATAGCAGATAGATAGATAGATAACAGACAGACAGACAGATAGCAGATAGAGAGACAATAGAGAGATAGAGATGACAAATCTCTAACGACAGATAGCTTGAGAGAGAGATAATTGGTATAGAGAGAGGAAGAGAGATTTTAACTTCAGCATACAACTTCAGAAGAAAGAATTTAATGAAAGAACAGGCGGATGAAAGCATAACATGAGTGAGTGAAATTAAAGAATAAAGATCAAAAGTGAAAAAAAGATGAAAGAGTAAAGAGTGAAATGAAGGAATGAATAGAATGGAAGAATGTGAGGGATGCGAGTGTTATGTAAGTGTAATTATAGAGAGAAGAAAAGAATGACGGAGACCGTGTGCATTAAAGAAACCAAAGAATACAAGCACGAATATGATTATGTAAATGAGCGGGTCTTCTGAACATCATTCGTAAGTCCTGATATTAAAATGACTTTATTTCTAAAACCTGAATCTGAATCTTTACCTGCTACTGCATCAGCTGAACTCCAGCACATCCACACTGATGAAGATGAAGATGAAGATGATGATGAAGATGATGGTGGTGGTTTGCGCTGGTCTGATGTGTTCTGGACTCGTTCAGTCCAGCGCAGAAACAAAAGCTCGTCGCTTCACTGCACTCCGTTTTATTCGCCAAGCGTTACACCAAACAAACGCGTTAAATGACGGTAAATAACGCCTGGATGCCGCTGCTGCTCCAGAGATGAAGGCCACGGTCGGAAGCAGAAGCAGAAGCAGAAGCAGATCCCGGCTCCGAGACGCGGACAGGGCGGAAAAACTGGCACGACTGCCGGAGAGTTTCGGAAACCGTCGGGAACTTTCGGACAGCATCGGAAACCTTATACACAGACGCAGCTGCAGCACAGCCACACGAGGGAGCCATATCATCACAAAAACTCATTTACTGTACTGCATACTATGCACTGTACTATAGTATAGGGTGGATCGCGGAGTGCACGGCCAAAGAAACGACATCAACAACAAAAAACATAATTCTTAAATGTTTTTCTGATGCGAGACTTTTCTTTTAAAAGACGTGCATTAAAGCTGTTGACACTTCTGTCAGATGCAGCTGTCCAACATTCAGTATCTGCGGTCAGGTGAGATGGCATGGACAGGTTTAATGTCGGTGTCATTATTCTATCGTTATTTTCATTACTTGTCATGAAATAAAAAGAAAAGCGAGTTATCCTGCCCCTGATGCACTCTTCAGCAGCGCGCGCTGTGTCACTTCACTAAAGCGCAGACACTGAGCATGCAACGCGTGAAATACAAGTACAGTACTGATAAATCACATAACTGCTACTGCGTGTGTTAGCTGGGAGGGATTTGCATGAAGGTATGTTATATTTATTCTATTCTGGAGCAGTTTCATTAACAGTTCATGTTAGTATTGTATATTCACCAGGGTAACTGTTGTTTCCATAACCCCAAAATACCACGTTATTTTCACTTTGTGTCATTTTGTATATGTTTAAATGACTGTGGTGGCTCAAACCAACTTAATTGTATTTACATAAACTAGTTTGGGACTGCTATTTAATAGCATTACCTTATAGGCTGTTTATTCAGCATTAATCATATTCTTAACAGTCTTAATTTTTGTGAAATAAATGTGCTTTTTTGTTGTTTTTTAACATATATATATATATATATATAAAACCACTGGTATAGTGCGTAGTATGCAGTACAGTAGTATCACTGTATATTGTATACAGTACAGACTATACATTGCTTACTATTAAAAATAGTACATTAAGAGAGTAGAGTATAGATGTATGCAGTGAAATATGCATAGTACATGAATTTTCTGTTTGCATGATGAAATGCATGGATGACCTACAACGTGTCAAAACAAGTGGAGTATACAACAAGGAACTCCTGTACAAATCCAGTTTTGGGTCAAATTTGTTCAACTCTGTGTAAAGTCAAATCAAGGGCATTGCATTGTGGGATACAGTATCTCACAGTGTGCTCTGGATGCCACTGCACATGCTGAATCATAATAGGCCATCTGGGTATTGTTTAAATATATATATTAATATAATACTGTACACAAGAATTCATCAATTATTTTATGAAGCGCAAAATATTCAATGTCTCAATTAATACAAGCTCATAAAACGCCAAATCAAGGGCATTGCATTGTGGGATACAGTATCTCACAGTGTGCTCTGGATGCCACTGCACATGCTGAATCATAATAGGCCATCTGGGTATTGTTTAAATATATATATTAATATAATACTGTACACACAAGAATTCATCAATTATTTTATGAAGCGCAAAATATTCAATGTCTCAATTAATACAAGCTCATAAAACGGCACATACACGAATTATGCAAAATGCTGTTAAATACTTCTAGATGAAGTATAGCACGTCACGCTGTTTTATATCATCATATATCATGCTATTCTGGTACTACCATTATATTTTGTAAGTGTAACCTTTGCAACTGTATGTCTTGAATGTCCCCATGTATAAAAAATTGTATATATTATGAAAAGTGATGCATGTTTTAAAAATAATAATTGAGCCTACAGTTGATTTATTTACTTGCATGTATCAGGATAGTACTTTGCTATTCTATGAGAGATTACCATCTGATGCCACACTATTACGTTGTAAACTCTTTTTGATATTACATAGGATCATGGTTTAGGTCAGGGATCAGGTGTTGAGAGTTTGGATCTCTGCCTGTTCTCTTGCGCTGTGTTGAGTAACAGAGCCTCAGTTGAAACACACTCTTTCCTAACCCTGTGGCCAGATTTCAGGTCTGGGACCGCAGATTGCCCCAGAATCCAGTTACAACACACAAACATCAACAGTTGTGCGAATGAATGAACGTCAGGGTTTGCTCTAGTGGACGTGTAGCGCAGGTTCAGTGTTATCAGCCGCAGTCATCTGCAGCCTTAACTAGATAACTCCGTGCCAAGCCAGCAGGCGAGATAAAGCCATGTCCTCTGCCTGCAGTGGAAGCCACAGGAAGACCGAACGGCTCTGTGCAATGATGCTATCACTATCACTGTCCCACAATGGTGTTGAAATCTCACCCGTCCCACTGCCGCTCAGCCTGAGCTCTTCTACGCAAACGCCCGAGTCATCGCGTCCGTTTGAAGAGAGGAAAGATTACATTCTGCTATCGTCTTGTGCAATTCACAATCAATCCGAATAATCACATTAACCATTTCAGTGGAGGTAAATCACCACGATTGTTTGATTTAGCATGATTTGAAGACTGCATAAAGTCATTTATTTGGATATTTCCTTGGACAGTTTGTATAAACAGAGAAAGAGAATTTTTTTTTTAAGTTTTAGTTTTGAAATCATATATAAGTGCTAGTTATCACTCGGGGTTAGTTGTCACAGGGTCTGTATTTCAGTAACTGGAAGATCTTGGGTCAAAGGTTCAAAAGTTTAATTGCACAAATTAAATTTTATCTAGCAGTGGTTTTGTATGTTGGTTTAAAAGACCAGATCCAATCAGTCATTATTTCTGAATGATGTGCTTTAAAGTAAAATTCAAATGTATTTTTGAACACAATAAAACCACAATGTGAAATAGAGTAAACTATAAACTAAAGGTAGATTTTCAGTGAAACTGTTCAGCTGTGATGTCTATACAAGACATTTGTTTAACATAACACAAATTTTGACTAAAATATAATATTTGACTAAAATATTATATCATATGGCTTTTTAGCTAAATGTTTAAAACGACAGAAATGAATATCTGAAGCAAGAAAATACGGTGTATAAAATAATATAAAAATAAAAATATAATTTGCTCAAAGAAATTAATTAAATTATATAAAATTACAAATACAAACACTTTTGGGGGCAATGTGTTTTATACGTTGCTGTCATTTTATAAAATGCATTAATTTTTCTAATATTTTTGATATACAGTATTTGTAATTCATTCATTTTTGTTGCTTCAGATGATCAGATGCATTCTTCTGAGAAGTCATACAGTGTACGTTTTAATTATAGATATACAGACATTTTTTTCTTTAGTTTGTCTGTAAAAATTGACTTCCATAAAATTACTGGAAAGCACAAAAATTACCATGAGTCAAAAAATCTAACCGTTTATTTAAATCAAAACAGAAAACCTCAAACTACAATGCCTAAAGAGTTTGTTGTGCTTTTTTTTCTGAATGACTTGAGCAGTTTATCATCTCAAATTACAGGATTTGTATGACTCCAACTAGTCATTTACACAAGATTATTTCTGCCACCAAAAAAATCATTGCAACTTTTCTCTCACAATTCTGAGAAAAAAAGTCAGAAATGTGTATATAAACTCACATTCCTGGAAAAACATGTAGTAAGAATTGCAAGATATAAACTCAGAATTGAATATAATCTTGCAATTCTGGAAAAAAAAAAGAAGAAAATAGTCAGAATTGCGAGATAAATTGTTGCAATTACCATTTCCATATTTATATTCAGTGGTGGAAACAGGCTTCCATGCTCATCAGTGGATTATTTCCCATGTTCACTTTCTGAAATGATATTTACTAGGGATGCAACAATACAGTTACAGTAGTCCACAGTTCAATACGTACCTCGGTTTTTAACCACGGTTTTCGGTTCGGTTCTGATGGCTTGGCACATCAAAGTGTCATTTGAAACAAAGTAACAACAACAACAAAACTCCTGTAAACCTCTGTACGCTGGAAAATGTGTGGGTAGGGATGCAACAATACAGTTACAGTAGTCCACAGTTCAATACGTACCTCGGTTTTTAACCACGGTTTTCGGTTCGGTTCTGATGGCTTGGCACATCAAAGTGTCATTTGAAACAAAGTAACAACAACAACAACAAAACTCCTGTAAACCTCTGTACGCTGGAAAATGTGTGGATTATTATATATCTGCTTAACATTTCTTTTGAGAGAGGTAATATTTTTTCAGATTTTTACCTATAGGATGGATTGGCCATTATTGAGCACTATAAACACATGTAAAGTGTGTTTCATTCATACTGGACGCCAGAGGGCAGAATCCACATATGCATCACAGAAGTAACACTGATGACGTTCCAGGAAATCCCTAATATGGATAAAGGCTGAATAAAAAGATATAAGGTTAAATGATGAAATGTAAGGACAATAAACACTCCCCTGCGACTCCCCTTCTTCAAGCCATCTCTGGTATTTTCATAATGATTAAGTATATTTGTAAACCATTTCTAATCGACATAGCCTTTATTACAATACAGAATGGGCCTATATTTTCTGCCTCATTCTGTGGCAAGAAGCCACACCAGATCACAAAAGGAAGTGTGTAAAGTAAAAACAAGTTATAATGTTCTCTATTGTTGGAAAACGGGTTTAGAAAGGCTTATCGTTGCATGTCGTTACAAGGGAAGATGCTTTTTCAAATGCACGTTAAAAGCGGGGAAGCATTTCCTCATCTCAGCATGTGAACTCACGGGCACACACACACACACACAAAGCCAATTCTGAGAGAAATGAAACACACGGATATTATTTAAACGCAAAACCGCAATTCACAAACGCGTATTGAACCGTGGCCGTCGTACCGAACGGTTCGATATTATATTGAGAATTGTGACATCCCTAACATTTACTCATCCCATCTACTGAAACTATATGAAAATCACAAAACCAATCCAAAATTATTCGATCACGATCAACTAGGGCTGCACGATTAATCGAATGCGATTTTCATGCGCATCTCGTCAGCAAAGCCGGTTCTGTGATTGGTAGTAAATCTCCAGCACGTGCTTTCAGATGGAGCAGCATTTACTACACAGAGTCGTAGTTCACTGACAAGCTACGCAAAATCGTGTTCATAATCACATGATTATGAAATCGAAGAAATCGTTCTGCGATTATGAAAGCTGTTTGCGTAGCTTGTCAGTGAACTACGGCTCTGTGTAGTAAATGCTGCTCCATCTGAAAGCATGTGAAAATACCACATTTAATAACATGTTTTTACTCTAAACTCACTTCATAACGTCAGTCGAGTGTTTGAAATAAATCCTTCTGTGAGATGATGTGGCTTCTTACACAGAATAAGGCACCCAACATATTTCATAGTATTTAAGCAGTGATAAAGGCTATTAGGGATTAGCATTGCATTATTATATACTTTATTATAATAAGACGAACTCAGATAAACCATATATTGTCGTAGTTGTGTGTTTATTAGTCACGTTGAATTAATGAAAGCAGTTAAATGTTCTGTTTATTCAGCAACCGCTATAGGGATTTTCTGGGTTTCTTTTGCGAGGCGTATTTGGCGTTTCAGCGCGAGAGCGCCCTCTGGCCTTCGGATGGAGATTTACTGCGGATCACAGAACCGTGCTTCACTGAAAGATACGCATGACAATCGCAGCTTCTGTCGAATTGCAATTTTTCGCCTTTGCGATTTAATTTTGATTAATCGTGCAGCCCTACGATCAACAGAACCTTCAGTCTCCGGTGGTGTCCTGCTCTTTGGCCTGTAGGTGGCACTGTGACAGGTAGTGTCTGAGTGCATCCACCTCGTGCGACAGGCGCTGGATGTGCAGCTGCAGGCTGTGGTTCTCGTCCTGGAGCTGCAGCGCCCTCTGCTGGGTCAGCTGGATCCGCCGCCGGGCTTTATCGCGACTCTTTCTCACTGCGATGTTGTTGCGCTCTCTGCGCAGACGGTATTCCACGCTGTCTTTGCTCGGGCCGCGCTTCTGTCCCATTGGCCGCAGGGTGGAGGCCGGGGGCGGCAGAAGAAACTGCGAAAAATCCTTCCCAAAGATTCGTGGAGTTACCGAGAAAGGACAAGAAAAACAAGTCCAGTAAAAATCTAGAAATTTAGATTATTTATAATAGAAAAAGCAAGAGATTTCCAAGAAATGTAATACATAAAAAAATTATACAAACCAATCTATCCATACAACTAGTGCTCCTAAACTAAAACGATAAATAAAATGTTAACTGAAATATATTACAAAAAATGCAAACTTATTTTATTTCAGCAACATCTCATTTTTGTTTAGTTCAACTTGAAAATAATAAACTAAAAAAGAAAATTCTTTAAAAAAGAATTCATACTAATAACAACAACCACCACCATCTAAAACTGAAACTAAAACTGAAATGTGTCATTTTTTCTACCAGGGTGAATTTCATTTTAAAAGTCTCAAGACTTTAATTTTAACATTTAGTCATGCATTTATCAGATTAGATTTATATGCATCTTTGCCGTCCAAACAACTAAAATGCGAGGGAAACTAACACTAACACGTTCCCATGATAAATCTTGGAGTAATCAGTCACTTCGATAATTTCCTGGACACAAAAATAAAATACTATATTATATATAATATATCTGGGGGAAAAAATGGAAATAAGTTAAATAAAATGTTAAAAAACCTCATTATTTAGCTATTTACTATAATTGTTATTTACTGATTAATTTTACTTTTACTCAGACAAACCTTTATTTATTTACTGACATCTAACTTAATGTTATTATACAAACATTAAACATACAATTACTAAAAGTAACTATTTACCCCTGTAATTATTATTTTACTTGTAATCTCAGACATAATCAGTAAACATGTTTAAATTATTAGGCACAAATTTAAAAATGTCAAAACAAGTTTCAGTTTAGACAGGCGTATGCATTTTAGAGATTTGGGGGAAAAAAAAATTTTTTTTAAAAGTGTTTAATGCTAAATGTCATGAAGACTTTCATTTTACGTTTACATTTATCAGATGTTATTATTCAAAGCGACTTACAGGGACATCAATTTGTCCTAAGAGCCACAATATTGGCAGTACGCAATGGCAGAAAGTTCTCCAGGAACCTGTTTAAACAGCGTCTGCGTTACCTGCTGATTCTGCTGCGCTCGCTCAGTGCTGCTGGGGGTCAGACACGAGGAGTACGGCACGAAGCCCATCATCTGCTCCATGCTCCGGCCGTCTGGCGTCTTGGGAAAGGCCATGGGCTGGCCGTACAGACCCGTGTCCATCTGAGGCATCTGAGCGCTCATGCTGCTAGAGTCGGGGTTCAGGGGGCCAGGAGAGCTGGAGGACTGATGATGGAGAGCAAACATACAGATGGAGGACCCAGGACTGTCGGAGATGGACATCTGTGGATGAAGACACAATTCTGAACTGCTCCATATTCCAACTACAGAAACATCAAGGCATGAAGTGACAGGAGTAGATCAGACGAGACGTTTCCGTACTTACGGCTTGTAAACTCTGCTCAGGGCCGCTGAAGCTTCTCCTCTCTTCTCAAGCACAATTGTGATGTGTTCTTCCACAGGATCCGTTATGATACAGGTACTTCAGCGCCTGTCAATGACACCATCACTTCCTCTGTCACAACCATTCCTCCTTCCCCCTCTAATTATTTTTATGTTGCATCATAGATTGACTTCTTTTTTTCCCTTTTCATTTTCCCTGTTTCATGAGCACTTTCTACATTCTTTACAGCCTAATGTATATTTGTTGGCCAAACGTTTCTCTACGTTAAATCTTGAAATTATTACAATTATTTCAGTGCCTCAAATCATTTCCAGCATGCATATATAAAAATGATTTATTTGTCAAATATTGAAACAGAAATAAAATATATTAAAGTACTTAATATTAAAAGAGTTTAACTTTAAAATACCTAATTAGTAATATTTATAACTACAAAAGATGTTTATTATATATATATATATACATATATATATACACACACACTTATATACATATATACACTATATATACACTAATGATTAACTTGCTTTATATCTAATATTTATTTGTAGCTATTATAATCTAATAAATAATGTTTAAAAAATAAATAAATATTTAAAATATATTTCTAATAGTTACTACTGTTTTTTTTTTATTCTAATTTTAAATTATTTATAAATCATCTTTACTTATCTTTTTCTTTTACTATTATATACATTTTAAATGTGTAACTACAAATATTTACTATTCATAAATAGAATTATTGGTTACACTTGTTACAGTGTAATTATACATTTAAGTACTAAGTAATATTAATCAACTACATGTACTTACTATGGCGTTAGTGTTGAGATGAGGGTTTGGTTTAGGGTTAGTTGCATGTAATTATGTATAATTTATATACAATTATTATTACTATAGTAATTATATGTAACGTGTAAAAAGGACACTGTAAAATAAAGTGTTACCGAACTATTACTTTATTCTCAGGCATATTAAATGAACACAAACAAATTGCAGAAATGTCTGTCTAAAATCTAAACTGAATTTGCATTTACAATTTGTTTGCATTTTCAAAAGGCAAACAAAAAAGTTAAAGTAAAACATTTTACCAAATCAAAAATGCAGAATTTGTAAATATTCTGTCATGACCTAAAAGTCTCCAAATCTCCACACTGTTACAGAAGTACCTGGCAAACGTTACTTTGTGTCCCCATTATTCCTGAAGCCTCATGGTTGATTGGCCAATCAGAGGAGACTCACTGGCGCCTCCTGCAGCAGGACTGAGGAACTGACACAGAAATTATGATAAGTATACAGGGAGAAAAAACATTCAGATAGACTGGGTCAATTTTTGCCATTAATAGAGAGAAATGGTTTAAATGACAAAACACTGCTAAAAAGGGGTCTAATGGAGAGCATCCTTCCTTTCAAATTCGAGCTGTCGTAAAATGAAATTATTCACTCTTAAATATTAACACAACAACCTTGACATAAAGACAAAACAAAAACTGACACTCACCTGTAGCTCTGTGTTCATATGAATGATATAATGAGGTCATTGGGGAACATGGTTTGGACTGGAACAAGTGATGCACGGTTTCAGATTTTCAGAAACTCACATTTTATTTGTCAGTGGTATAAATGCAAAATAAGGGCTTTCTAGTACAGTTGACTAAAAAAAGATTTTAAGTAATACAGTAAAGTTTTAGTAAAGTCGTGAATCCAGTTTAGATGGATAGATAGATCGATAGATAGATAGAGGTGTATGACTATTTTGTTTGATTCATTACATGCTCCAGTAAATAATTTACAGTTCAAAAAACACAAGTGAAAATTGGACCTAAAACCAGAGAAACGGCTTAATTAATCTTTAGTAACATAAGATCAGTGCACTGGATATTACAAATGGCCTGAAGCACTTAAATTACACATTTTTAAATAGTACATAAACATAACTAATAAATGCTAATAAATTTGTATATTAGTTTTCGGTCACACTTTATTTTAAGGTCAAATTCTCACTATTAACAAGCCATTAACGGCTTTTGCCTCAAACTCCTAATTTGCTGCTTCTTAATAGTTAGTAAGGTAGTAGTTAAGTTCAGGTATTGGCTAGATTAGGGATGTAGAATATGCTCATGCAGGATATGTGCTTTATAAACAGCCAATATGTTAATAATAAGCCTGTTAATAAGCAACTAGTTTATAGTGAGAATTGGTCCCTATTCTGTTACTTAGTTTTCTAACTAAAATCTCTCAATGAAAGTGTTTTCGAAGGGAAATCTTGATCCCAGTCGCTGTTGACTAAAAAAAGATTTTAAGTAATACAGTAAAGTTTTAGTAAAGTCGTGAATCCAGTTTAGATGGATAGATAGATCGATAGATCGATAGAGGTGCATGACTATTTTGTTTGATTCATTACATGCTCCAGTAAATAATTTACAGTTCAAAAAACACAAGTGAAAATTGGACCTAAAACCAGAGAAACGGCTTAATTAATCTTTAGTAACATAAGATCAGTGCACTGGATATTACAAATGGCCTGAAGCACTTAAATTACACATTTTTTAATATTACATAAACATAACTAATAAATTTGTATATTAGTTTTCGGTCACACTTTATTTTAAGGTCAAATTCCCACTATTAACAAGCCATTAACGGCTTTTGCCTCAAACTCCTAATTTGCTGCTTATTAATAGTTAGTAAGGTAGTAGTTAAGTTCAGGTATTGGCTAGATTAGGGATGTAGAATATGCTCATGCAGGATATGTGCTTTATAAACAGCCAATATGTTAATAATAAGCCTGTTAATAAGCAACTAGTTTATAGTGAGAATTGGTCCCTATTCTGTTACTTAGTTTTCTAACTAAAATCTCTCAATGAAAGTGTTTTCGAAGGGAAATCTTGATCCCAGTCGCTGTAAATCTCACACACACACACACACACACACGGTCACAGACGGAGAGAGAGCTGAGCTCGGGTCAGAAGCTCATCTTGGATTTCTGGGTAATCTGGACACTGCTGCAGCACCTACAACCAAACAGCAGTCGATGAGACCGATCTGAGATCAAACACTCACTTCATCTAATGCCTCATCCTTCACTTCTTACAAACCTGATGACACACATCAACGGCCAGTGTGTAATTCTTGCACTTCAGGTAGTTAAAGGCCAGACGAAACCCTGCAATGAGATTCAAGTGTTTCTGATGGAACTGAATATTTACAGTATGTTCATGGTTTTGATGATAAAGTCGCACCGACTGCAGGATGGGCTCTGCTGCTGTGTTTCCAGGCCAGTTCATACTGCAGCGCTGCGTCGCTGTGTCTCTGCTCGCTCTCCATTATCAAACCCCGATACTCGTACGCCTTACTACACGACTGATGGAGCAGCAGGAGGAAAATAAAGAGATGTGTCATTTTAGCCTGAAGTTGAGAAAAATGCAAAGCAACTGAAACTAGTCCTGCCGTCAGTCATCCATCATCATAGAACTCAACGTTCACAAATAACCCTCTAATTATTAAAATTTTCTTGTGTCTTTGTTGTTCAAACAACTCGCATTCAAATAAAAAATGTACAAAAAATATTTCTAGGGGAAAAATAAATAAATTGAAAAATAAATAAATGCTTTAATATTGAAAATATTTATTATTATTATTAACTAATTAACTACTTATCTAATATAATTAAATAGAACTATATTTTTGATATTTAACCCTTTAACCGTCACTCCCATTTTTGAACAGACGTGAAAGGGCACTATCCAAACTTAAATTGTTATAATGCATGAATGAAAACATTTCATAATATGATTTTGATTGTAACGCAAAGTCCGATTTTAAAATGGTTTTCACAGGATGAATTTAGAGATTTTACGTTTTCAGTTAATATATATTTTATTTCTAAAGCGTGATAGGGAAAAAGGTAACGAAGAAAGACTTTTTTGTGACAAAGGTCAGAACTTATCTATTACTTTTCCTACATCATTTGTAACAAAAACAGTTCTAAAATATCCAACGAAATATAGTTTGTATAGATTAGATTAGGATTTATTTGTAATATAGAGAAGTAAACTTAGGTGCCCCTCTGAGGGGACGGGTGACAATTAAAAGGTTAAATTATCACCTAATTAGTTATATATGTGACCCTGCAGCACAAAAGCAGTGTTAAGTCGCTGGGGGATATTTGTAGCAATAGC